ACCGATGTGTTTCCTGGCTGCAGAGGGAGGCACCTCTGCCGAGCGGCGCTTTGATGTTCGAATAGAAAGGAGGATTAGGATTTGAAGCGAGGTTAGCTCTGAGGTGAGGAGGACTTCGTTGCTCTAAGCAGTTAGTTTAAATATTTCAAGTGTATGTGTCACTGTTTAGTTAAGCCTTATGCAGGCATTGGTGGGATGTGATGATTATCAAACTATTTAAAAACAAATCCTAAAGGAGAAAAATTACACTGCCTTTGCATTAGCATGTCTACAGCAGGTGTACTTTAACATCGTCAACTCAGTTCAAACAGACTGGGAATTTGGCTGCCTGTACAGTGTGGGCTGTTTAGTTATTTTGTCTTCTGTTGAAGTCCTAAATAGTAATCTCTTATCTGAATAGAGCTATAGGGAATGGGATGACAGTAAACAGGAAAAAGACATAATTACGTTGGTTTAAATTCGCACCACAGGTCGCACCAAAAGATGTCCTTGTGTAAACAAGGCTTGTGTTTGTCCATACAGCTGGGTTCAGCTGTGTCCATTGCTGACATCCATTGTCAGCAACAGATCATTTTTGTAGTATAGCCAAGGCTTTAAAACAAAGACGGTAATCAGTCTTGTTGCATAGCTCGGTGACAGAGGTGGCATTATACTGATGGACAAAGCAAAGTGGTTTTTTTCGCCTTTTTGCCAAGAGGCAAGAATATTGGTTAATACAAGTATTTTTGTTGCCAGCTGCCAGCTGTTGCAGTGCACCCATACCATACTTTCCCTAGTCTTGAAATACTGTTTTCTTTTTAAAAAAAATAATAAAAAAATAAAAATCGAAACATACTGGCAAAACCTTTTATTATTTAAGGTACTGCTGGCTTTTCTGAATCATTTATACTTGTAAGTACTATTGTGTCACAAGTAACACATGTTTAAAAGTGAGTTTTCATATTTGGGAGACTCCTAGTTCTTTGCCATGTGTGCAGCTCTTAGGTGGGGAGTAGCAGAAGGCGTACTGCCCGAGGGAGGGAGAGAGCACTCCGGCAGCATTATTTGTGGTGGTATTCACAGAATAAAGCTGCGTTTTATTGCTGCTGGGGAAAAATTAAAAGCACGATGACAGCTGTTTGGTGTTTGCAGTGAGTAGATCCAGGCCTCTTTGTAGTACATGTGCTGTAGTGGTATGCCACTTCCTTGAAACTGCATTTCAGTATGCCACATTCACATGGAGACCAAAAAAAAAAAAGGCAACTTAAAAGCTGTAGGCCAGGGCTGTGTAACTGAGGTTGCAACAATAACTGGAGAAAAAAAGTCTTCACTGGATGTTGGCGTTTGATGTGCAAAGTGGCATTTGGCCTCACTCGTCTGGTATTGCAATGGGAGATGTTACAATACTGCGATTGGCCATAAAGTGTTTAAAAAATCATATTCAGGGAATGAAGAAGGCCACGTGTTTCATCTTGTTTCTTTGTGTTTGCGATGATTAAAAATCCCAACTGAAAAGTACTTCAAAAAGGACAAGTAATCTTGCTAAATGTTTGAGCTACACTGCTGTCCAAGTGTTGTGTGTCTTGCGTCTCTGGCAAAGACGGGCATTGACTCTACAGCGTATGCTGTAGCTACAATAGCTGAGGGGGTGTCATACGCTGTCTTCCAAGAAGGTTGTTACCCCAGCCATTTCCCTGTATTACTAGTACTGGAAATGCAACGGCTTTCATGTGACAAGTGTTAAGGATGTGAGGAAAAGAGATTCTAGAGGGGTTGTGGTGGGCAATGGTGGCTTCTGCCTCGGGAGTCATGAACTGTGCTGCTTGTTTTTTGGTTTTAGATATATACACAAAGCATATGAACCAGTTATACTTCTAAGTTTTCCAGCAGAACACACCAAATAAGTCATAATAAGTACTTAATGCGGTTCCATATATATCTAGAAAGACTCTCCCTCTAGTGTTGCTGCCACACTGGCTCTTCTGTATTTTTATTGGAGCACAGGTCTGTTGAACCCAGCCCAGATAACCTGGGGTTATTTTTTGGGGGTATTTATTTACAGTGGAATGTCTTGGGGGTTTTTTGGTGTTTTTTTTTAAATTTATTCCTATTCTAGTGGAAACCCTGCTTTCTGCAGATAATGTCCCTTCCTCTGGATGCTTTTTATTCTTTGACTATAAGGAATATCTAGTCAGCATTTTCTTACCCTTTATCAGCATATCTCTGCAGTGATTTCCCACAGCGAGTCAAGGAAACCTGTTGCTTTATTAAAACCTGTATCATCTTTTAGAAAAATACTTTGCTTTTAATAAACAATAGTAAACACACACATGCACAGTCATACTGCATTTAAGTCAATTGAAGACGATTGCAAGATTGAAATACTCCTTTATTGTTCAATTTGGGAACAACGTAATTTCAGAATTTCAATATGCAACTTCAAAATAACTGATGAAAGTTTCTGGTGACCCAAAGAAAGTATTGTTAAGATGTTGTTCTCTTTTGTCACTCATCTTTGTTTTTCATCTTGTTCCTCTATTCTCTAGGAATTTGTTACAGAACAGTATTGAGCAACGAAAAGAGAAAAGTCTTTATCCCTGCCTATGAGAATAACTGTGTGTGTTTATATGAGTATTCCTTGTAACAATTCAGAAGTTAATTCTTGGAGTACTGTTTTGCTAACAAAAAAGACTTCAGTAAAATTACAGTTGATTCCAGAACTAATGCCTTTTAAAATGTGGTTTTAACTTTTACTGTTGTCTCTGTGGTAGAGGCATCATTCAGTATATGTCAATTGCATTAAAATCTTAATTACTTCTTCATATAACAAAGTGATTCCTTTAAAAACAAACAAAAAAAACCCCAGAACATACAACTTGTAAAAACAAAATCACTTTTAACTGCTTTTTTTTTTTTCATAGACCTTGATGATATTAAGAAAACATTTGCATCTGTTTTTTGAGATGAGTAGAATTTGGATTTGTTTGACTGCTTTATTCTGGTTCACACTCAGTTACCAGTTCTGGTACTTTAGATATTTTTAGAGCAATATGCCTTGCTAAGCTCTGCTGGGTTGCTTATTGTGATTGATATCACATTCCAAACAAGTAGTTGGAGCAACAGTGTATGTAAGCATTACACCTGTAATTACACATTCTCCTTTCTAATTTAACGGGTGTCAGCACTTTTTCATCTCTTGTGTTTTCATTGTGATGAGAACTATACTGTACCAGGCAGGTTCTGGCACCGTAAACAGGCTGAATACCTAGCTTTCAGAAATGACTGCTCAGAATAGCCTATGGGTAAGTTTTGTCTAATACTACAAGGGGAAGAAAAATAGCAGCTAAAGTAACAAAAGGACTGAACTAATTGAGTAACAGAAATTTGAGCGTTTTAATGGATGTGGGAGGACGGGATTATTAATGGTCACATTAGAGAAAAACACTGCACCGTCTGTTCCTCTCGAAGCTTATGGCTGTGTGTTTATAATAGACACCACTTATCCTGAGGCCTGCGTAGCTTGCATTGGAGAGGGAAAAAAAAGGAAGAAAAATCTTGTTGTCCTTCCTTTCAGTGGCAAGTTACTTCACTTAAGCTAGGAAAACCTGATGTCTCTAGGTTCAGGGTACCTTATGGTGAGGGCTATATCTCTGCCCAGAAGGTTGGCTAGTGTCTCTCAGAAGCTCTTACAGACTGTCACTGGACATTGATTACGAGTTGTTGGGTTTTTTCCTCTCTTTGTCCCTTAAATGTGGTGTTTGTACTTCCAGAATCCTAGCATGTGAGGCCTGTAAAAGTCCCAATGACAAAATGAAATTGTTGCTTCCCTTGCAATGAGTAGCTGACAGAACATGTAGCCCTTTGAGCACTGTCCGTGCAATCCGGGAAGTCTAAAATTGCAGTGGTTTGCTTCTCCTCCTTTGATACAGGCTGTGCCTGCTCCAAAACTGCCTCTCATCCTTCTAGCCTTTGACCCCTTCCCCACCATCTGCACTGCCTTGTACTGCTGTGTGGTGGTGCTTTGTCATGTAGCTAGCTCCACAGCTCTGTGTTGTGAAAGGATATTTTTAGTAGTATAGGACAGAAAATACAAGAATTCTACACTGCAGTGTTATGTTTGGGGTTTTTGGTTGGTTTTTTTTTTAGGGGGTGGTGTTTTTGGGGTCTTTTTTTTTTGATAAAGACTAGTAAATAAGTAAAGCATCAGGATGTAGTTCACCCGGCTGTATCCTAGAGACTTCATAAGGGGCAGAGTTGCTGTTACTTGAATTTATTGCCTGTAGGTCTCTGTGGAACGATGCTAGCTCTATGTAGTGCTAGGTGGTTTGATTTCCTTAGCCTCTATAGACAGTTTGTTTTACCTTCCCCTTTCTAGAAAACAGTGTTAAACCTCCAAATCTCACTTTTGTTTTTGTCGCATTTTTATTGCTCTTGCCAGTTTTCTAATCCATTGAGAAGAGATGAGTGCTCGCTGCTTTGCTACTGCTGCTGTGACTTTTTTTCTCTCCAGTAAGATGTAAATGGGCTAACTCCTTCTGCCATTTAATATCTGCTTTTGACCCTTGAAACTGAGATAGGGTGATGACTGTTACCCCTTGGCTCCACTCAGCTGGGTGTAGTGACAGTCATGCAGCAATATAGAAGACTTCTGTGCTATGTTTTTGGTGCTGTTACTTGCTAACTAAAGGACTAAGCTAAAGTTTGTCAAGTCTCTTATCTTTTTTTTTCTGATCATAAAGTATTGCATAACTTCATTGATGAAAATGAATCCATTTCACTTACTAATTTGACAAACCTTTGTGCTTTTCCCCCTGCTAGCCATCTGTGGTTTTAGTACTGAGGCAAAGCAAGAGATCGTGGCATAACTTGCAGCAATGATGTAAACCGTGTTAGATCAGCTACGTATGCAGACACTGGCTTCTGCTGTGTTTAAAAACAATTTATCTTGTGCTAGTAGGGGTGAAGGAAATGTTATTGTTTTATTACAGTATTAACATATTGGTGTACCTCTTGACTTTCAGGTTGCGTCGCAACGCATAAGCTCAGTGGATCTTTCATGCTGCAGCCTGGAGCACCTGCCTGCCAACCTGTTTTATAGCCAAGACCTCACTCATCTCAATTTAAAGCAGAACTTCCTGAGGCTAAACCCTAGCCCATCCACAAGTAGAGCGCTTAATGAATTACAAAGGTAAAGTGATATGGTTCTACTGGTCTTCCTCTGCCCTTGGAGCCAAGTGACCACTGATCTGCAGGAACTTTCCTAAAAAATTACTACTTCCTCTTGTGGAGGACTGGCCTGACTATAATGCTTCAGAAATTGGTTAACTCTGTGTGTTAGAAACAGACTAGCTTTCATAAGAAACTTAATGTTTTTCTTGTAAGTAGAAGGCTATTTTCAATCCAAAATGCAATTTTCAGAATGTGTTGGTTATATCTACCTACTGAGGCCAGACTGTAATTCCTCAATCTTTGGCTCATGTGAGTGAACGAGTCAGTGAGCTACCCGTTGAAGGGCTACATCCTCGGTCCGAACAGTACTGCATGTGACTTAGAAGCTTTTTTTGTTACACACTCTGTCCCCCCAAGCAAAGAAACCCCTGATTTAATAAATTCAGCTGGATTCCTGTCCTCTTTCTACTCTACTCAACCCTAATTCTTCTTTCCTAGTAACTGTGACCTTCCAGTTGTTCTTTCCACTGCAGCTCGTCTGAGAATGTAGCAAATGGGTAGACAGCAGCACGATCAGTGATCTGAATGATTTAATGTGTTTGTCCCAGAACTGTGGAATCAGCAGGCTTTCTTTATTCAGAAAGATGAATGTTTCCATACTGAATATAAAACTGTGATTTTAATTTCAGTACTCTGTGAATTGTGGAGTACCTCAAGAATTATATTTGTGGATGGTCCTGTTCAAACAAAATGTTTTAAACCACATTTCTAAATCCCTTTCTCTTTGAAAAAAGCCTGAAAAATACAAGATGCATTATGCAGGCTGTTGTATTTTTATATAATTCCAATTTTCTTCTGGAAAAACAAAAAATTTGGCATAACAGAAGATGAATGAACCCAGCAGGTCTGCTTCACAAACAAAGGCAGTGATTCCAAGAGCTTATGAACACAGTCTGGAGAGAAATAACTGGATTAAATGTTCTGTGAATGTCAGTATAGGTCTCCAAGTGGAATTTTAGCATAAGTTAGGTGATGAACATAGACAGATAACGAATGTCTCTTTTGTAATGAATTTTTACAGTTTTTCCTTTTTAAATATCAGAAGCTGTACAGGAGATACTTGATTACGTTTTGTCTATCTACATATAGCTAATTCTGTCAGGGATTAGAAAGCATTTATAAATAATGTGATGGGCAATCTTCATTGTCTGTTTAATGTTCTTTTGGAGCTGCAGTTGTAGGAATGGCTGAAGAGTCTTGCTGAAAGCTAATAAACTGTTAAAATTTTTCTCACTAATGTGGACCTGAACGTGCAAGAGTGAAAGAGTTCAGGTGACCAAATAAAACTCTCCTGTTTTCTGAGATTCTGCATCAGGAAAATCTGGAGAAGTGGCATATACCTGCAGTGGTGCAGAACTGATTTAAGTGTCTTGTTCTTCTGAGAGCTGGTCCTATTCTGTCAGTGAAAGATCGTCTGCTCTGCCTCCATTCCTTTGATCTTGCCAAGATGGCACAGGAAGGTCTGTGAACTTCTGGAGGAGGGGGGAAAAAAGAGCATTATAAGAAAGGTTACACCGCACTGTTTCAGTGCCTCGTGAGCTCCTGCCCCTTGGTGCTGACCTTCCCTCTGCTACTGCTGATGTCTTCCAGCCTTATCTTCATCCAGTGCAGGTGGCATCGCCCAGGCAGTGAGTAGCTGGAAGCTGCTGCCACCATTGCTGTGCCGGTGGAAAGAGTCATGCGAGGTGGCAAGTACTGCTGGGGGCAGGAAGATCCGTGCCCCATCCGTTCTCTTATGCCTCCCAGCAGCACCAAAAGCACAAGCCTGGCCCTGGAGTGCTCTCCCAAGCCATGCTCCTTTCAGCCCTAAGAAACACCGTGCTGACTTCTCCTTAGGGTGGGAAAATTTGAGGTTTACTTTTGCTGCCAAAACAGCCTGAGCCAGTTTGACTGCTACTGTAGGTCTGATTTTCTGTAGTGAGTAAATACACAAATATCTAGCAAGAAGGGAACACTGAATATTTTTGAAATTATTAGTGAATCCCAGTATGAAAGCATGTGCAAAGCAAGGGAAGCTCAGTCATTCCTGGGAACACAAGTTGTTATTTGCCTATTTTTTTTCTTTTTAATCCAATTTCATAAAACCATTTTTAGATCTTTTGAGGGTTACACGAGGTAAAACTTGACTGGATAAACTAAAAGTCTTTTTTTGGGGGTGGTGGTGGGGTGGGGTGTTTTTTTTGTTTACCCGTATTATTTCAAACTACTGCAAAGCAAGTACAAAATCTCTGCTGTTCTGATTTGGTACTGTTGGCTTTTATACCAAATTCTCAATTGCTAAATTGTAGCCGCACACAGGGCACAGCACCAGTGAATCAAGCCCAGAAGTATTTAAGGCTCCAAAATAACCATGTGCTTGGATGTTGTGAACAGAATGCATTGGCATTTTTATACCTACCCTTCCTGGTACAATTTTCAATTAAAATCCGGTTAGCAAGCAGTCTTGAAAAATTTGTGTTGCTATAAGCAGCTCTTGGTGCTAGCTGTTCCTCTTAATAAATCACTTCAGGTGGTAATTTAACAAAAGCTTGTGAATGCTGGATTTCAAAACAAGAGGTATGTCAAAGGCAGAAGAAAATACCAACTTTTCAGCTACCCACTGAGTAGACTTACAAGCAGCTGGGTCATAGTAATGAGATGCCGACTTATGCACTGACTTGGCAGGTACAGTCAGGAACGGATTGGGGAAAAAACCAAGAATTCCTACTTATGCAGTTACTTCTTTCAGTTGTTAACATAATATAATATTACATTTCTGAATAAAATATTTAGTCCTGCTCAGTACATGGCATAAGTGAAAAATCTCCATCTCAGGAAGTAAATTACTGGTAGCATGTGAAGGTTTACAGAGGTATAGATACACTCATTTTCCCAGTAGTTACGTTTTTCACTTGCTTTATTGTCCACTTAAAGTTCTGTTGCTGTAGATAGTCTGCAGCTGTGAACTTCTGTAACTGAACTGTTTGAATGTTGAAAGGTATGTACAGCTACTTGTATTTTTTTCCCCTGCTTTTTCCAGGGAATATGTATTTCCGGGGAATACGTATTCATACATGTATAAAAGTAGGCAGTCTGAAAATTCATCTGTGTTGAAAAAAAACACAGCAAATGTTGGTATTTGTTCTCCCTCACAGAAGCTTTTTTAAAATGATAGGAAAGGGTGTTTTTCTTTTTGGGGAAGAGAAGAGATTCCCCACTTGAAAGATTGCCCAGCTGTTGCAGTATTAGAAGCGGCTGACAGGTCTTGTGATAATATCCCCATCGAGTCAAAATTTGCCTTAAAGCCCTTGGTCTTTTAGCTCCTGTACACTGCAAATGGAGTGATTGAAGACACTCTGTTGTCTTTAAGTTGTCACAAATTTTATTGCTTACACTAGGTTGGTGGATTTTTTTTCTTTTAAACCATAAAGTTGAGATTTATATGCACACTGTGTTCCCAAACCTCACTTTCCCCTTATCTACAATGCAGCTTCACAGCTTTTGTTCTGAAATGCAAACGCAAGTTCAGGCTTACTAGTTTTGCAGAGGACTATTGCTCTAGGTTTGAAGCAAATGAATAAACCGTACTCTTTATTCACTGTTGCTCTGCTTCACTGGGCTAAGCATGCTTTGTATTTATATATAATTGTTTCAGTCAGTGCTGTTGGAAAAAACCTGTTGGCATGAAGAATACTGTTTGCTGGTTAATATCGAAAAGTAAGTTGTCAGTATGTGGATTTTTAATATAAGCCTGTTGCAGATTTAAAAAAAAAAAAAGGGGGGGGAGGATGTAATAAGCCAGAAAGTTTGTTTTAACGATAAACAAAGCTATGCTTGCCAGTTTTATCTGAAGAACAAGTTGTTATTCTGAAAGTGGCTGTTAATTATTAACAGTGATTATATGGATTGTTATCTTCAGATCTGGGAAAGAAAAGATACCAACAGATCTTTTGGTATCTTTTCTTTCCCTCTTTAGACATGAATTGTCTTCTCAGGCATCTCAGCAGAAACTCTTCTGGGCTAGTGGCAGTAACTTGAAGTTGCATCTATAGGGTACAAGAAGGCTAGAGGACTCTTGAGATATTGATGTGTTTCTGAAATCCCTTGCTACTTCCAAGTCTAGGATAGCTGTTTTTATCTGAAAGCTCAGAATTTGGGGGGTCTTCAAGCTAAACCCTCCTTAGAAACCCATTGGGCAATAAGTAGGTACTTCAAAATGCAATCATTGGTCAGAGAACACTTAGGTTCCTAGATGGTGAGGGGGAAAACAGTATTAGCGACCCAACTGCTGTGAACCCAGCAGACAAGCTTGCTAGAAGTCGAGGTGAGATGTAGCTTTATCCTAGCTTACCTCTAGAGGTTGAGGAGCAGGGAAGAAAGCCTCCAGCCTACCACTTGATTGGTCTCAAAGTGCACTGAAGTGCTCCTTCTGATTATTGCTTTTAGTATATGAAACTGAGGTTAGTGAAGAAAGTCAGATGGATTAATGACATGGCAAATAGACATCCTCCCCCTTGCCAGGCCACGCAAGGCACTGCTGGTAGCCGCACTGAAAAAGATTTGAGCTTTCTTTTTTTTGTTGTTTTCTTTTCTTTTGTTTGTTTCTTTTTAGGATGCTCTTCTGGAAAGGAATTTGCTTTAAAATGTATGCATTTATTGAAGTTATTCAAATGAATCCAGCTAACGTGGGGAGTGTACTACCGCAAGGAGTGGAATGCCATTGCATGCTCCACGGTGTGGGAAGATGCTGTGAGCTTTCTCTCACACTCTGATGGTCTCAGAGCCAGGGAACCTTACTTTTATACTTGTTTCTCCTCTTTTAATTGAAGCTGAAAACCGAAGCGTAGCCATCTAAAGCAGTAGGGCAAGAAGAAGTTGGTGTGATACTGACAACCAGAGGTCTGCATGTAACAAACTCCATCCAGTGTTTGCTGTATTCTGGTGCTACATTTATTTTCTCAGCTCTGTAGCCTTGAAATT